AAAATCATGTGTTTTTCTCTTCAGCGGTAATTATTATCTTAACCAAGGGGCATCAATCAATCAGACACCCACGCCAACTCCTACTACTGAGCTCGTGATAGAAAGGTTAATCATAAATCAAACTACTGTTTTACGCTTCATTAAGTCTACGTGTAGGCAACAACTATTTACCGAAGTGGAGTTAAACCGCCTCCCGGTTAGCTCAATGGATAGAGCGCTGGACTGTTGTGCGGGAGGTCGAGGGTTCGAGCCCCGGCCGGACCAACACTCAAGGTCTTAAAATAACTGAGAAGAATATGCTTCCTTTCTGTAACATCAAGAAATGGTTAGATATTCTAGTCTTCTCGGATAGGGACGAATAAATGGAGGTCCCGTCTCCTGCAGGGTTAGGGGTAGGAGACGTTAATTTCCCACGCACGAGTATACTGTGTGATGGATGTCCTCCCCTGGGGTGGGTTGGGAGGGTGCTTACAGGGCCGTTCTGAAAACCACTTCTGTGAGAACACACCCTGTCTAAAGATTATTAGCTATCCATACCATCAAGAACTGGCTTTCAGAGGACAACCATCTCATTGGAGCAGTAAGCACCTTAGTTGTGATCTAATTCCTTGAGCCTAGATCCCCAATCACAATGGATACCCTTTTCTTCTCTATTTTGCTGCCCTGCTTTTCAATACATCTTGACACCACCTGCTACATTTTTCAGTGTATTGATTAATTTAACACATATTACATATTGTGTACAGGCCTGCATTTGAAGATGAAATTACAAGAGATTTAAAACACACAGGAGCTGGAATCCTTTCAATGGCAAACAGGTAAACATGCTCTGCTGAGCTAATATCAGCAAATGTGATGTCAAATTACTGAAAATGAATTGCTTTTGTTTGTAAAACCAACAATGGTGTAAAAAATAAGTTCTTTCTATTACCTTTGATCACCTTGCCAGTTTCTCTAGCAGTATTATTGCTCAATGATGATCATTATGTAAAGTCTTAATGGCAAACACTTTTCCAGTCAGAAAAAAAAAATAACCTGCAATGAAGAACACATCAGACAATGAAAAGGATATATTTCATGATATGTTTTATTCACTGAAGTTGTTGTTATGTTTAACTTAATGTATTTAGTGGTCCAAACACAAATGGAAGCCAGTTTTTCGTCACCTTAGCTCCAACACAGTGGCTTGATGGTAAGAAACTTGTTGAGTATTTGTTAAATACACAACTTAGCAGATAATTATATAACCAATGTTGGGATGAACTACATAAATGAAGCCTACAACAGCAAAAATACCACCCCCCCACCCCCCAAAAAAAAGAAAAAAAAATTAAAGCATCTACCTTATTACAGGAAATTAACAATATATGTTGACAACATGAAGAAAATTTATGCTACACTAAAGTAATGTGAATTTTTCAGAAGTTAGTTTACATGCATTAAATTCACACAAATTTTTCGATTTTTTTGCTTTGTTTACTACGATTTTCGTAATTCTGCAAACTTGCACTTTACATTTTTGAATGCCAAACTGCATTTTAGCTTCCGTCAATAAAACCTTCCAAGACAAGTCCATGGATGTTTCTAAGTTTTTTTTTTAAGCTGAAAATTTGGTTTTGAAGCCTAACTAGACCCTATCAATTCAAAAGATCTCTCAAAACATCGGGCCATGAAATCACCAAGAGCTGCTCACTCATTTGATTGGTGGAAACCAAACCATAGTTTGTTGCAGTACTAACACAAACTTGCAGCACTTACAAAANATATATCTGGTTTTCATTGAAGAGAGGAGCTAAGTAAACGTAATGGGGGAGGTGAAATCTTTAAAATACAAATGGTCTCCACTGGTTCAGGGCGGCTTAGAAATTTCAGTAGAAGTAACCGTGAATTGGGAGGACAAATGGGTATTGGAAAATTTAAAGAGGAAAAGAGAAGAACTAAACTATCCTCTTGGGGAGACAGTGGAGTATCAAGATCAATTAAGACATTTTGAACTCGATTTTAAATGAAGACATACTGTCAGATAGTGACTCTGAATAGCCAATAGAAGAGTCATGAACTAATAAGGTTTTGTAATGAAATAAAGGTGCTTTAAAATAACAATGTTGTAAAATAGCGTGCATTAAATTTACTTCACTATTAATTAAGATACTGACATTAAATTAACGCGAATTTTGTAAAATCGCATTAATAAAGTGCATTGTTAATTTCCAATAATAAGGTATATGGAACCTTTATTACTCTTTTTGCATTTTCTGGATACTTATACTTTGACAACTTTATTTTATCTTCTGTGTCTAAACAGATAGAGCTCAGAAACTCAAGTCTAACCTAATCCTATTGATTATCTCTGATGCTTCATTTTCTTATGTTTTTTCTAGTTTCAGTATCATTATAACATATAAACTTTGATATGATGCGTTACATTCAAAGTTGATACAGTTGAGTATCTCGTGATGACCACTGCTCCTTAATGATTCATGTTATAACATAACCAAAGTAAAGCACATGTTCTGATTGGTCAATTCAGCATCCACTCTTTGCCCCTGGGTGTACACTGCTGATGTGAGCAAAAGACTAGTTTTCTGCACGCCTTTTTGTTTTATGGTCACATAAGATTTGTTAAATAAAATAAAACTCTTTTGCTACAATGTATCAATGTTATGTTATAAAACAAATGGAAAATGTCACAGTGTACATTATTGAGTTATGGATACACTTGGGAGGTTTGCTAGGCACTCAAGAAGCTAGAGTCGCTCTTGGCTATCACCTTGCACAACTCTTGTGCTACTTTCGTGCTTAGCAACCTCCCACGTGCATCCATAACACAATAATGTATGCTGTGGTGTTTACCATTTGTTAATTGCTAATTTTCATGAGAGTATGCAAAAGACAATGACACAATTTTCTGCAGGTAAACATACAGTATTTGGTCGCATTAGCAATGGGATCAGTGTTGTGAAGAGGATAGGACTAGTGGAAACAGACCCTGGTGATAGGTACACATGCACTCAGAGCATTTATTTTACATATGGAGTTATAAAACTTTCATCAAATGGATTAGAAATATAGACTATGAACTCTAACTGTACTTTTAAACTTACATATTACATGGAAATACATCCAACAGAATCTTTCTTCTCATCTTAATTGAATCTTACATTTTAAGAATTTTGCTTGAATGTATGGTATTTTATTGATGACATTTGGTATTATGTTTCTTTTTGATATTTTATTTTTAATAGGGTAAAATTAGCTGTTTCAGTCTGTGGAAAACTAGAGCTGTAAAAAGTTCACACCTTGTGTTTAAAGAGGGTCCCCTATTCCCCTTTGCAAAACTCAGAAATATTTGGCCTTTTCATGCATCACGATTTGTATCCAAAACTCTTTCACATTCAGGCGAAATTCTGGACAATCACATTAAATCAACATTTTTACTTTTCTACTCAGTCAAAACCCTGGTCAAAACCTAACCACAGCAGCTTGAGAGCAACATGAACATTTCCATAACCATAAAATAGCCAGAAATTCATCACTGACACAAAACAAAATGGTTCAAGAATCACATTTATTTCAGCTCTTAGTTCATGGGTCCCATTTAAATAAAATTTGTTCACATGGACTTGATTTAAAGATCTTATTATCTTCAATCATAGTTCATGAATAAAAAAAAAGTTAAATCATGATTCACGAGAACAAAAATTGCCTGATCACACTTCACGTAAAAAGTGTGGGGTCCCTCTTTAAATATTTTAATATGTAAATAAGTATATAAAAACTACTGACTTATTGCCATTGTGCACAACAAAATCTGAGATCCAGCAAACTTTCCTAAGTACTTCTTGCTACTCTTGTGTGTCAGCTTTAAGAATCATCACCATAAGCTGCCCACTATGGTTACCATGGGGGAAGGGGGGGGGGGATTAATAAAAGAGTTAGTTTTTCATTATCATTTTTTTATTAATGCCCTATTATCTTCTTTGTCATGAATTTTTTTCTCTTTTTTTTTTTTTGTAGTTTGATATTTTGCAGTGTACATGTTTTAAGAAGTTCATTTTGTCCTCTTTTAGGCCACTTCATGATGTTTACATTTTAAATGGGAAAGCAGCACCAAAACCCACATGAAACATAATGGTTATTGTATGAAGTCATTGAACCATCCATCAATGTGCTAAATGCAAACTGCCCATCTGTCAGACTGTTTTTACATTGCTGTATGGAGATCCATTATAACATGTCCAACTGTGTCAGAGATTTATATGTGACTAGAGGTGTTTGTTGTAACATGAGCTGAACAACATCCTTGTTGCAACATTGAAAGTTGTTAAAACTGTGCCCTATTTTGTAAATGTAAGGATAAACTTTGAACAGATTGTTTTTAATTGTTTTCCAAAAAACTTAATTTATGTAATAGTCAAATAAATTTTATCTCAAAGTTAAGAACAATTTTTTTTTTTTTTTTTTTTTTTTTTTTTTAAGTAAATTTCAATGTTTTTTCAAATGATTTTATTATTACCATATCTGGGAGGTTTGTACTCATGTTTTCTTTCATGTTTCATTACTGGCAGTCAGCTTTTAATTGAAAACCAAATACGCTTATGAATAAATCATAGCACTGTAATTTCTAATGCTGGAAGGAAATGTTCATCCATGTACAAATTAGACTATAGATAACAAGCAGGAATAAGGCCCTGTTAGGAGGGGTATAGATGTCACCTGTCTGAATATCAAACTTTGTCACGTCGCCATTTCGGAAGGTTCTGATGTCACTGTCGCAATTTCATTAATGTCTTGCTTGAAGTCACATTTTCATTTCCCTGATGTGGCTGTTTCAACGCCATGTCAGCCATCGGAATTTACCCTATCAGGGCCTCAGGAATGCTTTCCTTCAACTGATGCTCTTGTGTGACTGGGTGACTGGGCTACAACAATGTTTTTAAAACATGTATCAGTTCTAATCTGTTCCAGCCTCTGGATAGAGGACACACCCACTGTTCTTTACTTGCTTGTATAGAACATGTTCTATTTTCTCATGCTAAAACTTGTAACATTACGGGAATTAGATTAATGTTTCTGAGTGGTTTGTTGTGTTAAGCCTTTACACCTTAATATCAGTATCCATATTTTTCATATTCTTCAGAAGAATATGAAAAGTGTGGATACTGATGTTAAGGTGTAAATTAGGCTTAACAACTTTCAATGTTGCAACAAGGATGTTGTTCAGCTCATGTTACAACAAACACCTCTAGTCACATATAAATCTCTGACACAGTTGGACATGTTATAATGGATCTCCATACAGAATGTAACATTATCTTTGGTACTGATGTAGAGAATTCAGTGAACAATCACAGCTTCTGTTGTTGGCAAATCATTCCCTTTATCCTTGTGATCTTAATGAATGATTCAGCAGTGTTACTGTAAGAAAAAATATCATGCTTGTCCGTCTTAGGGTTGAAAGGGTTAAGCAGGTTGAACAACTTCAGGTACAAGAGGTGTGGACTCAAGACCTGGCTAGTGTCATTTTATGATATATTCTGCGATATATTCAGGGGCACCCCACCTAATTACAAGGAGCACTGTGGAGAGAGCAACCTGTCGTGAAAACCTGATTTAAGACTGATGATTTCCTGTGGACTAGAATGACATCTAAAATAAATACCATCGTGTCCCAATTGGCCCCTTCTGTTTCAACTTGAATAATTAACCTGTTAGTAAAAGGAGAGGGATATGATCTTGCTGTAACAATGAGAATGAAAAATGTTTATTACAACATGCACATGTACTTGGAAGCCTGTATTTGCCCATTCTAAAATTCTGTGTTTCAACCCTACATGTTCATGCGATGGCCTGATTTTACTAATAAACTGGGTGGCATACTCAGAAGAGAACAATGACATACACTCTTATGCTCCTAATGAGTTTTCAATCCTATTGATCCTTCTCTCTTTAAGTTCCCTCTCCCCCATCTAGTCTTGAAAATTCATAAGCCCCTTTAATGGCAGCTTTAGAGATGCTTACTTTGCCTCTATTTTCTTGTCATGCCCCTACTATGAAGATGGGCCTAATATAACAGCATACCGAAGCTGCAATTACTTTCAAATACGTAATATTTTATTTTGTTGTAAAATGTGGAAAAAAAAATTATGCTTGTAGTACTCAGTTACTGGACAATACTCCCAAGATTTAATTGTGAATTCTCCCCTGTAGCTAACTACACATTTATTTACAATAATTTAGTTTTTAATCAAGAGAACAACTTCTACCTGCTAAGTTTGACTAGTCTTATTACCTGGTTGGTGGATGTTATTGGGAGAAGTTATATGTTGATCACCTTTGGGAGTTAAAGGGTTACCTATTACACCCCAAGATTGTTGTGCATATTCTCCAGAGTGTATTCTATGCAATTCTAATGGTACTGATGAAGAGAATTTATTTGACAAATAAAAGCCTGTTTGCTGGATGATTATGTCCCTTATTCTCATTACCCTCTCAGTTGATTCAACAGTGGTACTGTAAAGAGAAATAAGATGTTATTTGGTCTCAAGGATCAAATGGTTAAAAATCAAACACGAAGGTATCAAGAGTAAAGGAAATGATCATTGACTAAACCTCTTGATTGTTGCACAAATTCTCCTTGTTTGCACCCTGGGAAGTATAAAGGGAATAGTATGGAGAATATGCATACTGATGTTAGGGCAAAAAGGGTTAAACACAACAAAATACTAAAAGAAGTGACCCCAGAAATAAAAGAATATGTGAAATGTTAAAATCATGATGTTGACTGATGAAACCAGTTTTATCCACAACATCGGAAAAATAGAAGTGATTTGCCAGTCCCCAAACCAATTTAATAGCCCATTTGCGAATTACCCCCTGGCCTTATTTTCAAAACGAGTCCTTGTGCTAATCCTTTCATATGATAAGTTTCCATTCACAAGCAAATTAAACTCATTTTCACAAGAATGGTCGAGCATGGACTCGTTTTGAAAATGAGGCCAAGGGTAATTCGCAAATGGGCTATTACGAGAGCTGAATGCTTAACTCTTAATGTTTGAAATCAGATTCTTAGAAAAAAGAAAAAAAAAACGAAATCAAGGAAATTGTGGCCAGTTTCAATACCTTTAAAGTTTGACATCAGATTATTGGAAAAAAAAAAACATGAAGCCAAAGAAATCGAGACCAGACTAATTTAGCAGATATTTCAGGCAATATATGTGATAGGTGGTAAGGAAAACGTATTTGTTTTCCTCCAGTTGAGGGCGGAAAAGTAGTTTCGTCAAAAGAGGAAATGATCTCAGTGATTTGCATAAGTGTAACTTAAATTACAGGTGACAATTAAGAGTAATTTTGGGAAAGTGAGAAAAATATAAACTTGAGTGAACCAACCGCTGAGACGTCAAATTGAAATACAGTAGTTACTCTTGAACCCCTAGCGTATGGGATGAAAATTAAACAAAAGCACTTTAAAATAGACGCATGTGGCTGATATGATTAATTTTTACGTCTTTGACCACTATCAATTCCTTATGTCTAGACACAGCAAACTGAAAGATTTCTTTTTCAAGATTTTAAGCAGATAGCTAACCACAGTAAGAAAGGATAGATACATAACTACAAAATACTGGTTTATTTCAATTCATCGTTTCCTCTAAAACATTATGACCCCAATCAACTTCAATATCATACACTGGCTATCTCACTAAAAAATCTCTTGAAAAGCGACTGTTCACCGAAACCTCGAGGCAACTACTATTGAAAATGATAAACGAATTTATAATCTCTTTCATGTCCCCTTTTGTTTGAGATAATAACAGAGTTTCATTCCTCAGAGAAGGCAAAAGCTCCATAGTGACTAAATGCACTTCATATCACTTCGGGGTTACCCAAGCGATATTTCGTTCTTTTCAGCTGCTCCATGGGCATATCGGAAACAAATAGATCGTTCAAGACCAAAACGACTTGTTGTGACCAAGAATATACAACCTGGAGCACCGTAATTGAAACTTGAACGGCGAAACAAGACAGTATTGAATTGAAAAGCCATCCACAGTGTCGTCCAATATAACGGAGAATCTTCAAATGTGAACCATCTATGGACGCGTTTCCCTCGTTGGTTATGAGATCCACACGGCTATGATAATCAAAATTATCAAAAAGTTCCTGTAGTACAAAGCAATGAGAGCAACTGCGATCATAAATCCGATGACAAAGGCCAACTTTAGAAACTGTCGAGGACGAATGTTCAATTCCCCGCTCTCCGTGGTCGACACTTGACTGTTGCATCGCCTCGTCATGTGTTATCCGCGTTAAAAATATTTCATTGAGCTCGATGAGAAATTACTTATATACTTTCCTATGCTTCTTCACACATTTATCTCGATCATGATGCATAGAAAACGCACAAATATTTGTACAACCGCCGAGTAAATCAAAAGCTGTCGTATGCTTAAAAGAGAAAGATCAACCGGAAGCTGGGATTATCCGCTGACCGATGCTTATTATTGTCATTACAACACGTACTTCCGGTGACACCAAACCAAATGTCTCTTGGATTCTCTTGGTTTAGCCTTGACCTTACTTTTAAGTCTATAATTCTTCCTCTTCACTCCATCCTTCTGGCGAAATTCTATTGCTTCGAGTGCCCAATGGTTTTTTATTTTCTCCTTTTTATTCTCTCTACTCTGCGTTTTTCAGGTAAACGCGAGGAGCAAGCCACGCGCGGGAGAAGAGTGCATTTCTACTTGCAAAGTGACTTGCCTTTTACACTTGCCTCACATTCTTCTTGCTCGTGCCTGCCGCTGGCCTGGAAAACGCAAGAAAAAAACGAAGCCTGTACTACGGTCACTACGGGTAGCGCTCCGTATAAACCGTGCTAACTGCCAAACTAACCTCTCTCTCCTACTTCCCCTTTGTTACGACAAGACATTTTTTCGAATCTCATGACATTGAAATGGCATTTAGAAAACAATTTTACATTGCTCTTTTGTAAGATAAATTTCACGTAAAAAAACGTTCCGTAATGTTATTGAAATTAACTGCAGAGCTAGAACGGGTTATTATTTAAACCAGGGCATTTCCTTTCTGCAACGTGTGGCGGTTGATTGCAAATACAGCCGAACCTGTATTAACCTGTCTAACTTCCAGATTTATTCCCCTTAACCGCTGTAGTTTTGAGTAAGTCCCAACGACTTGTTTGTATTGTCTTCCAACTGTCTTCCACAGTCGCTTAATTAAAGCGGAACTACACAAATAAAACTATAAAATCTTTCTTTCTCAGTCAACCTGTATGAAGTGCCATTCTCCCGTGGGTGACAGGTTTGACTGTAGGAACCAAACTTAACGTTGAGTTTGTATTGGTAACTTGCGTAGAATTTAGTGTGGTCACTTTTCATTACGTAATGTTACGTAACTAGCAGTATAAATATACTTAGTTGTCCTTGTAATTTAGCTTAAGCAAGTTAAGTGGTAGTGTATCTAGCGATTACGGATTTTTTTTTCACATTCCAGTTTAAAACTTCGTTTGTTACTTAAACACAACAAACAGCTTCGAAATTGAGAGATTCTGACACAAATACTCCCTCTATCGGATATAATAAGACCTAATTACCCATCAAGGGATGATTTTATCCATCTGTGAACCGAATTGAAGCATGATGGACAAGTCTTGAGTTAAAGGATAGCGAGTGGGGGTACATAAGAAAAATCTGCCGATTTTTGATGGCATTGGCGTTATATCTTTCCCGCGCACACACCTTTCACTAATTCATCACCCCTTGGAAGATTGCTCATCGGTGACTTTCTTTTCCCCGAGAAACTAATGATGACAAGGCCCTTAAAACCTGCTAAAAATTTCTAAATACAGCTAGGTACCAATGTAATCGAAATCTTGAAGCAACCATTAAGGGCTAGAATGAACCTCAACTTGCATTGAAAATACCGAGAAAGTCAACGAGGACATATAAATTTCACGAGTGTGTTCACCAGAGATTGGACGTTTGATGCTGTGAATAACAGCAAATTGGAATCGGGAGAAGGAAAATTCGTATAAGGACTTCTCGTGTTTCAGAGCGATAATCGTTTGATTATGAGCAACAAATGAAAAAGTAAAAGACCTTATCGTACGTATAATACGATTATTTATATCTAAGAGTTTCAAGTGTTGTACTTCCTATATATGGTCTCTCAAAGTTTTTAAAAGCTTCAGAAGGTAGAAAATATCCTTTAATGTTAAAACAAATTAAACATTTACAATAAAGCAGGGTGTCAGAATAGTCAATAGCCACAAATAATGTACAAGTTCCCCCTCACGATCAACTACGTATTTTTTAATAATAAGATTCATGTACATAGTAATTTTTATTTTATATCTGTGAATACGCAATTCAGTTCATGCTGCAATTCAGTTCATGCTGTAATTTTTATTTTATATCTGTGAATAAGCAATTCAGTTCATGCTGCGAAGTATTTACCAATAAAGTATCTATCTATCTCAATGACTTTCAATAGTTCGAAAAAAGTCTTTGAAACTGGAAAACCAAAACCTCAAATGCTGACTTTTGTTTGACTAATCCGAGATTGTTTTGAGATTGTAGTTAATAATAATAATAATAATAATAATAATAATAATAATAATAATAATAATAATTCAACATTTATATAGCGCAAACTACTATATAGATAATCAGTCGCGCTTTACAATCAATTGAAGTTAAGTTGTTGGTCAGGTAGCTATATGTCATTTATAACGTAATTTGTCCTCAAACTAGCCTTTTCGTTGTCTTCGTTCGATAAGAAAGCTGTACCAAGTATACAGATGGGAAACTTACTCGGTGATAAACTATCCAAGAAAATTAACAAGAAATTTCACTACTTTATGCTTAAGAAATGTAGAAGTAGCCTTGCTGGAAAATTTTCTTCTGGGAAGAAAAGAGAAAAAAACATTGAATGAAATCAATGTACATATGAGGCACAACTAAAACTTAAAGATCGGATACGCGAGATTGAAAAGGAAATGAGGCTGCCCATTTATTGCGAAAAGTGATGATTCAACCTCACTGCATTACCCTTAATTGCAACTAAAACAACGCTGCCACTGAGAAAAAGCAGCAGAATAGCGTATAACCAGTCTTTCTCATGAAAGGCAAAATTTGATATTTTTCTTAAAGTTTACTCATTGGTTTGGATTCATAAAGGGAACTCAGAATTATTCCTTTATCTCACGCTCATGACAAAACGAACAGCATCTTTCTCTCTTTCTTTACTGAGCTCAAAATTCACCGTTTTCTTATTCTATTTTCAACTTATTCATTGCTTTCGATTTCATCCTTTTGTGTACCTACCATGATTTTTCATGTCACAGTAGACGTCTGCGTTTCTGCTCCCAATATTTATCCAGTAGTAGCCGCTTTCCGCTTGGGGCCACTTATTAACTNGAGAAGACTAGAAAGTCTAACCATTTGCAGATATTATTACAAAGACAGCACTTTCTTCTCAGTTATTTAAAGACCCTGAGTGTTGGTCCGGCCGGAGTCGAACTCTCGACCTCCCGCACAACAGTCCAGCGCTATATCAATTGAGCTAACCGGGAGGCGGTTAGTTTAAGCAACGTTATCATTCTAAACCGTTCAACTCACAAGATCTGATTGTTAATTCTCCCCTCTAGCTGCCTCGCAGTTCCTTGAATGTAAGTTACAAGAATTTGGTGTTAGATCAAGATAACCACTCTATCTGACCTGTTGGCTGGATTATGTGTAGATATTTTAGGAAGAAGTTACTTGTTAATTACTTTTGGTAGTTAAAGGGTTAAGTGATAAGACTACAACAAACAACTAAGTTGTGCCGAGGTATAAATAAATAAATAAATAAATAAATAAATAAATAATCAGTTTATTTAACCCTTTGGTAGTGTTAAACACTAAATTACAAGGGAGACGATAAAATTCACTCAATTCTACACAGAACACAACACACTTGGCATGACGAGACAAAAACAATCAAGCCCTATTGTAACTGTGAGTAACGAACTTACTAAGGTGGACTGTTCTGAGGCGGTCTGATTAAAACAATAATTTATTGTATTTTTTACTTCTTGTCTCTATGCTACCACTTAATTTGATATTTACACCACATTGCTACAAACTACACTTTGAATTCTTAGTATAGCATTGGCAGTTTCAAAAGCTATTTTGTAAGAATTCATCTTCATTGAGTAGATATCCAAAACAACATTCTCAAATATTTTGCTACTATTCCCAGCGCAACACATGTCCCTATCACCAAATAAGGTGTCTGCAGCATCTCCCATCATGCTCCATTCTAATGACTGGTCATGTGACACCAGTCCACACACGCAGTGAGGCATGCTGGGTTTCAATTCCAGTGCTCCAGGAGGAAGACTCCAATGGTGGTGATTGGCAGAGTCAATGATGTCACTCCCACCATCATGTTCCAGGTCCTTGGCTTGGGATTCCAAGCAGAGGGCCACATTATTGATAACAGACATAAACTGACCTAGGAAACAATGTTTCTAGAGTTAAGAGAACAATTTTGCAAAGTTGCAATCTAAAACTGCTGCAAAGTTATGAACCAATTATTTCAGAGAACTTCATAATGATAAAACTTGAAAGCACCTAAACAGTAAAAGAAAACTTAAACCAGAAATGTAGAAGACTAAAAGAACTTTGTGAACAATTTGCTTAAATGTACACCTTTAAAATTGAAACTGATTAAGAAAAACAAAAACATCACTATCCCAGAAAACTACAAGTATTCTTCAATGAGCCATTTTCACAATAGACAATTAAAGGTTGATAAAGTGGCTTCTCCAAATCTCTAATAGAATGTTACCAAACTATGTCATAACATAAAACTTCTACCTTTAGAGCAGCCAAAATCTCTTGATTTCTCTGAACTACACTTGCTCCCATACATTCTTAGCATTAATGCTAAGTGTGTGTCCAGACACCCAGCACCAGGAACAACATAGGGTTGTTTAAGTGTCTCATGTAATGCAATGATAGATGCTTGCCAAACTAACTTGAGTTCCTCAAGGGAAGTTTCATCTGGTGAACATAGCAGAAGGGTGCACACAGGAGAGGATTGGGATGATGGTTGTGGAAACAGATGAATGTAGCTGTGCAAACAGAAATCACATAACTGAATTCAGTGAGAAATATTTTTAACTTTTTCTGTATAGCAATGAGTATCACGTCAATAATTGTTGTAGAATATGGGTTTATAAGCATTTGCTTTAAAAAGGAGTCATTTTAAATTGAAAGTAAACACCTGCTCTATGTGTTGTCTATTTGAGAGTCAAGCTATGATGCCTGCCCTTTAGCAATAACTTGGTAACAGCAAAAACAAAAAAAAAAAGGCAAGCAGGGTTGTCAAAGTAAGTTGATAATTGACTCATTTCACTGAGAACTTCTCTAAGAAATGCGCCAGATATTTGAATGCCTATAGCTCAATTTTCAAGAGGGAGCGGTGACAATGTGCTGCCTACTTTGCATAACATTCCAGGTACTCAAAATCTCTTTGACAACCCTGGCCAAGTGAAGTGGTATCAAGATGAACAAGAAAGACAGATGGTAGTGATAGCAGCAATACAAACATACAAACATACAAACATACAAACATACAGACATACAGACATACAGACATACAGACAAACAGACATACAGACAAACAGACATACAGACAAACAAACAAACAAACAAACATACATACATACATACATACAAACATACATACATACATACATACATACACTGTACATACTTTATTGGCTCAGGTCCCTGTGGGGCTTTTCAGAGTCAATGTTACATTCACAAAATTAAGATAAAAAAATAAATAAAATAATACAGAGAGCCAAACACAAGGTAATAATGATGTAAAACAAAGGCAAAGGTTGAATAAAAACTGAATAAAGCAGTCATTAAGAGGCTTTCATCTGAGTAGGTGCTTGAACTCTGTCACAGATGGGCTAAGTTTGAGTGCAGGCCGCAACTTATTCCACTGAGAAGTCGCTCTATATCGAAAAGTCCTTTAGCCCCTTGCAGTGCGAAAGACTGGTATGATGATGAGATATGCAATCATGACATACTTATATTTAACAATTATTCGCCGAAGGCGTGGTGAATATCATCGAATAATCCCCGAGACGAAGTCGAAAAAAGTTCAGAGAAAAGTTCTTTTTGATAATGAAGCTTACGTATATGTGCACGATCCTTCGCAGTAAAGCACTATTTAAGCAATAGTGAAAATCAGACCTGAAAAAAATTCAGGCCTGTACGGGATTCGAACCACTGACCTCTGCGATACTAGTGCAGCGCTCTACCAATTGAGCTAACAAGCCAACTGGGAGCAGGCCATCAAATTAATTCGACATAAACCCGTAGATGATAAATCAAACAACAAACATATGAAATACATATATATGAACTGCGGTTATGAAACGTATATGTGCACGATCCTTCGCAGTAAAGCACTATTTAAGCAATAGTGAAAATCAGACCTGAAAAAAATTCAGGCCTGTACGGGATTCGAACCACTGACCTCTGCGATACTAGTGCAGCGCTCTACCAATTGAGCTAACAAGCCAACTGGGAGCAGGCCATCAAATTAATTCGACATAAACCCGTAGATGATAAATCAAACAACAAACATATGAAGTACATATATATGAACTGCGGTTATGAAACGTATATGTGCACGATCCTTCACAGTAAAGCACTATTTAAGCAATACTGAAAATCAGACCTGAAAAAAATGCTCCCAGTTAGCTTGTTAGCTCAATTGGTAGAGCGCTGCACTAGTATCGCAGAGGTCAGTGGTTCGAATCCCGTACAGGCCTGAATTTTTTTCAGGTCTGATTTTCACTATTGCTTAAATAGTGCTTTACTGCGAAGGATCGTGCACATATACGTTTCATAACCGCAGTTCATATATATGTATTTCATATGTTTGTTGTTTGATTTATCATCTACGGGTTTATGTCGA